TACACACCACGATTCTGAGCGGCTGTTCTGAGTTGTTTACAGCATAATACAAATTTATCTGGGGAATGGCTTTTAAGTTATTTTTGTGCCATGGTTTTGATTTATTTAAGCTTCTCCCATCTAATTGAGGAAGCTTAGTACATTTTGGTACAGAAATTTGATTTGTCATTTTGTGCTCTTGATCTGTTGCCTCTCAGGAATGTGTGGTTCCTATCTTATTTGCCATCTGACGCAGGGGAAAGCTTAGGTGGTGGACATTTATATTTTGTGCAGTTAATGTGGCATGGATTCTAGATTTATCTTTTGCTGTAACTTGGTGAGAAAATGTATTTGGAGTTTAAATAAACTGGTAACTGACAATATTGGAAAAGTACCAGAGTTTTTCATCTGCTTCTCTCTGTTTTTGAACAGACTTCCAGACTCCTTCTCAGGTCTTAGCCTTCCATTTGACTCCTTAAAACTACTGAGCACATTGTTTTGTTCACATAGATATATTTTTGTATATATTGCTTATATTTCATATATCTATCTCCCTGTGTGTGTGTATTACATAGGTATATACTTTTTAAATTTATTTGTTTTTTAAACTCTGCTCTAAGAGAATATAGCAGTTGCTTGCAAGGAGAAGAATATGGTGGCCAGGGAGCAGGGTGAAAGGAGATTTTATTTCACTGTGTATACTATTAATATTTTGACCTTTTGAAATTTACATGATATTTGTGAACCAGCTATTCAAGTTCACTAATTGATTTACTTTCAAAATAAAACTATCTCAGATTGAAAGAAATTAATTTTCTTCTTATGCAGGGTAAAAAGCATCATATCATTTATGAATAAGAACTTTAAAAAAAAAAATAGAATAATAGACTGAGCATAGTGGCTTATGCTTGGAATCCCAGCACTTTGGGAGGCCAGGGCAGGAGGATCGCTTGAGCCCAGGAGTTCAAGGCCAGCCTGGTCAACATAACAAAACCTCATCTTCACACACAAAAAATGTTTAATAAGCTGGGAGGCTGAGGTGAGAGGATCACTTGAACCTAAAAGTTTGAGGGTACCGTGAGTTATGATTACGCCACTGCACTCCAGATTGGGGGACAAAGCAAGACTCTATCTTAAAATAAGTAGGGCCGGGTGCAGTGGCTCAAGCCTGTAATCCCAGCACTTTGGGAGGCTGAGGCGGGTGGATCACAAGGTCAAGAGATTGAGACCATCCAGGTCAACATGGTGAAACCCCGTCTCTACTAAAAATACAAAAATTAGCTGGGCATGGTGGCGCATGCCTGTAATCCCAGCTACTCAGGAGGCTGAGGCAAGAGAATTGCCTGAACCCAGGAGGCGGAGGTTGCGGTGAGCTGATATCGCGCCATTGCACTCCAGCCTGGGTAACAAGAGTGAAACTCCGTCTCAATAAATAAATAAATAAATAAATAAGTAAAAGAATGACTCGAACATGAAATGTGGTAGACTTGTGCAAAGAATCTACAAATCCTGACTAAGGGTCATCAAGAACTAAATGAACAGGAGGTTAAACTCTGTTTCTGGATATTTTAATATTGTAAAAAGTAAGTTCTTGCTAAATCCAAATATAAATTAAATGGTATCTCAATGAAAATCCCCTCAAAAATCTGAGAGGTGGAGGAAAAGGGGAAATGTGCCAACATTTATATTTAAAAATATGGAAGAATAAATATGTAAGAACAATGGACATTTTGACAAAGGAGTATAAACATGAAACATAATTTTTAAAAAATAAAGAGATAAGTCATGTCAGATATTAAAATGCATTATAATTTATTTAATTAAAAGTATCGTACAGCCATAGAACTCACAGACAAAACAAGCAATTAGAATAAAAAGTCCAGAACTGATTAAAATTTATTGAAGAATTTTTATATATTAAAGACAGCATTTCAATTGAGGAGAGAAAGGAATGGATTATTTTATGAATGTTGGAATAATTACCTACATAATGGGAAAAAATAAAATTAGAGTCCCGTCTCAGAGATATAATCAAAAGTTTAGTAAGTTAAATATTTAAATATAAAAAAATTTTAAATGAATTCATAAATTACTGAGAGAAAGTACAGTTTCCTCTTAGATCGTTCATCTTAGATCTTGAGTATAGAATGTCTTTTGTTTGTTTGTTTGAGACAGAGTCTCGCTCCGTCGCCAGTCACCAGGTGCCAGGCTGGAGTGCAGTGGCGCCATCTCTGCTCATTGCAACCTCCGCCTCCCGAGTTCAAGTAATTCTTCTGCCTCAGCCTCCCGAGTAGCTGGGGCTACAGGAGGGCGCCACCAACTAATTTTTTTTGTATTTTTAGTACAGACGGGGTTTCACCATGTTGGCCAGGATGGTCTCGATCCCTTGACCTCGTGCTCCGCCAGCCTTGGCCTCCCAAAGTGATGGGATTATAGGCGTGAGCCACTGCACCCGGCCTAGAATGTCTTTTTTTAAGCAATGCATTCTAGGCCGGGTGCAGTCTATAGGTAGAATTATATCTATAGATAGAATTATATCTATAGGTAGAATATCTATAGGTAGAATTATAAATTTAAAAATGTTATACATTTGACTACTTCAAAACTTTTTGTACCAAGAAAATCAAATTTAAAATTAAGAAAAATTGGAGAAAAACTCATTAGATTATATGTAATTCTACATATATGTATGATAAACATGTAGACAGAACTCTTAAAACTTAATAAGATAAATATTAGAATTCAATATTTTATATTCAGAGGACCTGAATAGGCAGTTCAAGAAAAAAAGCAATATGCATAGCCAATAAGCATTTTATTTAAAAATTCAGACTTACTAGAAATCAAAGAAATGCCCCAAAACCAATATCTTGCTTTTTATCTATTTCATTAGCAAAGATGAAAAATAATTAAACATCCAAGTTGACAAAGTTGTGGGGAAAAGGTATTCTCAACTACTGCTGGTGGGAATATAAATGGGAACAATTTGGCAATAAGTGTTTTAAAAAATCTTATATATGTACATACTCTTGGATCTAGAAATTTCACGTCCAAGAATTTGTTCTATGGAAATAACCAGCTAAATGTACAAAGATTTATTCCCACAGATGTCCATTGATGCATTGTTTTTATAAGTTTAAAAAGTTAAGATTAAAACATTAACAATATGTTTAATGGCAAGTTATTAATGAAATAAGTTTGGATTTAACCATACTGTAAATACCATGCATGTTTTTTTTTTTTGAGACAGGGTCTTGCTCTGTCACCAGGCTGGAGTGCAGAGGTGCAAACATGGCTCACTGCCATCTCCACCTTTATGTATCTATTAAATAATATTTTAATGGTGTGCTTATGGCATGGACTACATTTATTATATATTGGTAAGTTAAATTATAAAATGAAAAATATAGTTTAAAAAATTATAAATTCTATATGCATTATTTTGGCAAAAGTATGAAAGCAAATAAATCACCATGAGATGTGGTTTATGAATTATGGATACTTTTTGTTTTTCATTTATCTTATTTACATCTTTCTATAATTATGTAATAAAAAATGACTTTCAGCAGGATGCAGAGGCTCATGTCTGTAATCCCAGCACTTTGAGAGGCCAAGGTAGGCAGATCGCTTGAGCTCAGGAGTTCAAGGCCGGCCTGGGCAACATGATGAAACCTTGTATCTTCAAAAATACAAAAATACAAAAAAAAAATTAGCCTGGAGTGGTGGCAATGCCTATAGTCCCAGCTCTTCAGGAGGCTGAGGTGGAAGAAGTGCCTGAACCTGGAGAAACAGAGGCTGCAGTGAGCCATGTTGGTGCCACTGCAACTGCAGCAGAGCAACAGAATGAGAGCCTGTCTCAAAAAAAAAAGACGTTCAACAACAACAACAGAATTCAAAGATTGAAAAGGAAATAAATGGAGAAGTAACCATCGAAAAATAAGAGAATCCTGAAAACAGATCCACTTTGACCGAATCTCTGAATGTAAGTTAGGCTGTGTTGGTGCCATGTAAAAATACTTTGAACTTTGCCAAACACTGAGCTACAGCTACCCAAGTGGTCTAAGGGAAAAGTCTGAACATTCTTTGTGAATTCCTACCTCCACAGCCGTATTTAAAACCTCTTACTAATTTTTATTACATAATTGTAGAAAGATATAAATCAGATCAATTTTTAAAAAATTATCCATAATTCCTAAACTACATATCGTGGTGATTTATTTACTTCCATACTTTTGCCAAAATAATATGTATAGAATTTATCATTTTTAACTATATTTTTCATTTTATAATTTAACTTACCAATATACAATAAATATAGTCCATGTCATAAGCACACCATTAAAATATTATTTAATAGATGCATAAAGGTGGAGACAGCAGTGAGCTGTGTTTGCACCACTGCACTCCAGCCTGGGTGACAGAGCAAGGCCCTGCCTCAAAAACAAACAAACAAAAAAAGGTGCGTGATATTTGATAGTATGGATACAGCATCACTTACGTCATCAATAACTTGCTATTAAACATACTATTAATGGTTTAATGTTATCTTTTTTTTAAGTGTTTGTAAAGAATCTCAAAAAGTGAAGGCCGAGTAAGTTCCAATGATGGAAACCAATTAGCAGAAAGGATCTATGCTCTAGGAGTTGTTATGGGTACGATAAATCAACATCAAAGGCCTGTATTTTATTTGCAGCAGCAGAATCCATACTGAGGAATTCTTAGGGAGCTCCGTTGAAGTGGCAAACACATTTTATTTACTCTTCATTTTTTCCAACTATACCCTGCCAAAGCTAGGCTCCCTGTTGTTATACATCTTTAAGAAACAAAAATAAATTCTAGCATAATGGGAGCAAAACTTGGTAGTCTCTTATTGTAATGAATTCAGAGATCAGTTATAATGAGCAAAGAGACTACTTCCTTCGACAGCCACAATCGTACAGTACCAAACAGACTTAAGAAGTTTCTCTTCCATGAATGGATGTGTGATACATGTGAAGTGCATACAGCAAGCCCTGGGAGTGTCTGATCACGTATTCTATATTTTGGGTATTATCCACCGTGTTTCCTTTTTTACACTGTGGCTTCGTCTACACAAAAGGTAGAGAAATCTGTATCATTTGATTATTTATTACTTGAATATGCTTAATGACGTCTTTTACTGTCTTAGGTTGGGTTCCCCAGGAAGTAGATTCTGAGGCAGAGAGTTGTGTGCAGAGAGTCTGCTGAGAACACATTTGTGAGGGCATGAGGAAGTAGGATGGAGGCAGAATTTGGCCTGAGGTGCCCTCTTGGGGAGGGGTGCTCAGGAGGTGGGATGACTCATTCAATTTGTCTCAAATTGAGTTAAAAGGATCGGGTCTTTGCATCTTCCACCCCTGTTGCAGCCACCCCCTCACCGCTGTGGATAGGAGATCTTGGGAGAGGCCACTTCCTTCACTGAAGGCAAATCTTCGGGAAGCCTCAGTTGTAACCTGTCAGCAGCCAACACTCCCTGCAACAGAGAGTATGAGGGTCTCCAGCCTGAAGGGGGTTCTGGGCTGGGTGCTATGCAATGGACCAAATGTTTGTGTTCTTCCAAAATTTATACGGTGAAAGCCTAATCCTCAATGTGATGGTATTTGGAAGTGGGTCTTTGAAAGGTAATTAGGGTTAAATGAAGTTATGAGGGTGAAGCTCCTGTGATGGGATTAATGGCTTTCTAAAAAGAGGAGGAGACGAGCTCTCTCTCTCTCTCTCTCATTTTCATTCTCTCTCTGTCTCTGTCTCTCTCTCATTCTCTCTCTGTCTCTCTCATTCTTATTCTCTCTGTCTCTCTGTCTCTCTCTCTCTCTCTCTCTGGATGCATGCACCAAGGAAAGGCCTTGTGAGGACACAACCAGGAAGAGAGTCCTCACCAGTACCTGACCATACAGGCACTCTGATCTCAAACTTCCAGCTTCCAGAATCATGAGAAATAAATGTTGGTTTTTGTAGCCACCCGGCCCATGGAAATTTGCTATAGCTGCCTTAGCTGACTACCACATCGGGCATCACAGCAAACACTACAACCAGTAAGTCTCTGCTTGTATTAACAGTAGGACATTTCCAAAGCCTGGCCTACTCAGGATAAATGCACAAAAGAAAAGTTAGTAGTTGAAGGCAGAATTCTTAAGAGAGCAGTTTTGCATTTTTACCAAGTAACACTTATTTAACTTCTAGGGCAGTAAAGTAAGAAAAATTATTACTCTCCACCTCCTGCCATTACAAATTTAGGAAATGTAGAAAGGTACTGTGTTAATAAAGATGTTAACTTGTTGTCGAAAAGAAAATGTTTATCTGTTTCCCTGTGTTTCTGCCACTTCAGGATTCTGTCCTGTAATTTATAAAACACAGAAATTTATTTTTCACAATTCTGGAGACTGAGAAGTCCAAGATCTCAAGACTCTGGCAGGTTTGGTTCTTAGAGGCAGGTTCTCTGCTTCTAAGAGTGTGCCCTGTTGCTGCATCTTCTTAAGGGAAGGACAAGAGAGCCAAATTCTACGTGAAGCCTCTTTTATGAGTTCCTTAATTCCATCCTTGAGGGAGGAGCCTTTATAAACTAATCATCTTTTAAAGGCACCAACTCTTAATGCCATCACATGAAACATTAGGTTTCAATATCTGAATTTTGGAGGGGACGCAGTCAAACTATAGTGGTCCTTTTGCATTTTGTTCATAATATCAAAAAGGCCACTTATATTTCATAGTAAATAGTGAAAAAGCTTGGATTCAAACTTTAGTTTGAAAAATGCAATACAAATTGTGAGATCACATTTATTATACTTCACATGTAACAAAGTGTAAGCTATAATGATATCTACATACTTACTCTTAGAACTAAGAATAAATTTATTGGAATTTGGAGATATAATTTTCCAGCAAAATTCAATAGTAGGCCAAAGACATTCTTCACTTCATATTTTATTTGTACATCATGATAGTGAAGATGGATATTTTGACAAAAATGTTTGAGGATTTTAGGAAGTTTTCCCAGGGCCTCTCAATCCTTTAGTTTTGGACTCACTGTTTTGGAAACATCTCTGCTCTGCTGTCATTATCCTCCTTGATGTTTCTCCAATTGTAGACACGTCCACTTCGACATCTAAGAGGCATGCCAGTCTTAATGTGTCCAAATCAGAACCCTTGATCCTGTTTTCCTTGCACGCTCTTCCCACCTTCACTCTATCTTCTCTTCTCCTCCACTTGCTCAAGACAGATATCTAGAAATTATTTTTTATTTTTATTTTTCTCTCATACACGATATCCACCAGCAAGTCCAGTTGCCTCCACACCCCTGAACTCACTACTTCTCACCACCAGCTCTGCTGCTCCCTCCAAGTGCCAGCCACCTTCAGCCCTTGCCTGAACTACTTCAGTGGCTTCCTAAATGGGCTCCAGCTTCTACTCTATTTCCCTACAATCCACTCCCCACAGAGCTGTCAGAGTGATTTTTAAATGGATTTGTTTGTATTAAGTACTACATTTTGACAAGGTTCAAAATTTAACACACTATAAAAAGAGATGTTCAGAGAAGTCTGCATTCACTCCTGCACTTCTCACCCCAACCCTCTAATAATAATCCCTTCCATCCATGTATTTTTAAAATCCTCCTAGGGTTTTTAAGGCAAATAGAAACATATTCAAATATATTTTCTCCCACCTTATTACACAAAAGATAGCCTACCACATGCACTATTCTATATCTTGCTTTCTTTCCCTTGCCATATGTCCCAAAGCTCTTTCCATATGTATCACTACATAGAGATCGTCCTTGCTTTGACAGCTGCATGTCATACCATTGTTTATTCAACCAGGCCCCTTTTGCTGAATATGGGAATCAGGTCCATTTTTTTACTCTTACAAATAATGTAACAATAAATAACCTCATACATGTGTTGTTTCTACACATGGATATGCATCTATGGGATAGAATCATAGAAATATGATTGCTAGATTATATATTTTAGTGTATTTGCCCATTTCAAAATGAAAATTTTAAAGGTGAATCTAATGATCAGTTCCCCTGCTTAAAAGCCAATCAGAATGAAAACCGTTAGTGAAACCCATAAGGCCCTCCCTAATTTGGCCCGTCTACCTCTTCAATACTGAAACTGTGCCCCAAAGAGTTAAAGAAACCAATGACTAACAAATTCTTGAGTTTACAGGATGGCAGATTAAAAAAAGGAACAAACTGCTGAAACTCATTCTGCTTATCAGATAAAACAAATGGCTGAAATCCTTTGGAACCAATATGACCAACTGGAGTCAGTGCAGAATAAGCTTGCTGACAACACACCCTGAATTTCCACTGCATGTTTCATACCAACTTCCCCTGAATTTGCACATTGACACATAGGATACCATGAAGAGATAACTGAGCACACCCAAGGACTTTCCAGACTTCCCCTTTCCTTCCACCAATCACTTATTAATCCAGAATCCACCCCCTGAAACTTTTCTAATAAAAATACTGCTTTGGGCCAGGTGCGGTGGCTCACACCTGTAATCCCAGCACTTTGGGAGGCCGAGGCGGGCAGATCACAAGGTCAAGAGATCGAGACCATCCTCGCCATGATGAAAGCCCGTCTCTACTAAAAATACAAAAATTAGCTGGGTGTGGTGGCACGCGCCTGTGGTCCCAGCTACTCGGGAGGCTGAGGCAGAAGAATCGCTTGAACCCAGGAGGCGGAGGTTGCAGTGAGCCAAGATTGCGCCACTGCACTCTAGCCTGGCAACAGAGCAAGACTCCTTCTAAAAAAAAAAAAATACTGCTTTGAAGCCAGCATGGGGAGACAGATTTGAACTTGACTTCTGTCTCCTTGGGAGTTGACTTTCATATAAAGTTTTTCTTTTCTCAAAAACACAGTGTCATAGTTTGGACTTCCTATGCATTGGGCAGCGAGCCCCTTTTGCTCGACAACAATATCACCTGTGTTCTTCTCCCTCTTTCACTGTGAACTAAGCAATCAGCTTTCTTTTATTAATCTCATAAAATCCTATGCCATTTGCAATATTTGTTTTATACACATTGGCAATACAGTACAAATATAATGTGTTTGATTTGCACTGAAGTTGTGCTGTATTGGCACTGTGTATAAAAATACAGTCATCAGCTAGATACCCACCTAACAAAGAAGTTACTCCTAGAAGGAAGGCAGCAATGCTAATGTTTAATGGATATGACTATTTGAGTGGCTTTTATAAACAGTCATTTGATAAGTAAACATTACTAGGCTATGATGACTTTTAGTCTCCTACATTGCTTCAAACTTCAGGGACTCAGATAAGATAATGAATGCTGAGATCATGTGGATGTTTCATCATTCTGTAGCATTGTGATCATGGATTCCAGACACATAAAGGTAAAGTTCTAACCTTATGAAGAAACAACATGGTCAGCTAAAGATGATTGGGCTGGAAATTACAAGTCCCAGGTTCTGATGCAGAATCTGCCACTAAGTAAGCTGTGAAGGTGTAGGCAAGCCTTTTAACCTTTCTCTGGCTCATCTTATTTCTATGAAAAGAAAGAAAAAGAAATTCATTATGATTCTCAACCTTTTCACTCTGCAAGGATTCCCTTTATTCCTCCCCCAATTTTCATATGTTGAGAAATTGTGTCTACTAAAATATATTCATCAGTAGTTTGTTCATGTTCTCATGTTCATTGTTTATTATTAACATAGTCATGTTCATTGTTAATTTATCAAAAATATATACATAAAATTTCTAATTCGGCTTAGCATTGCAAAATCAATTGTCATTAGTTGAGTTGATGTAATGCCCTCCAAAGCAAAGAAACCAGATTAATTTGTCTGAGTGGTTCATCTTAATTCCCAAGAATTAAGAGGCTGCAAGCTGGGACTCTGCTCCTAGTTAACTATAGGTTTTTGTTTTTTCTTTTACAAGTTTGAGAGTCAATGATATTTATATTTGTATTTCTATTCAGTCCAGTGCTTGTGCAGATGGTACCTCAGAGGGGCGTATGGGTTCAGCAATGCAGCTCAGGAGCAGAAATGGGAGTGGGAAAAGAGGAGTCTTAGGGACCCCAAACCTATTTCATCTAGAGCAGTCTCATTTTTTTCTGTTCTGTATGCTGGGTTCTGCTTAAGATTTTCTTGTTCTTGTTCTTTTTGAGACAGAGTCTCGCTCTTTTGCCCAGGATGGAGTGCAGTGGTGCTATCTTGGCTCACTGCAACCTCTGCCTCCCGGGTTCAAGCGATTTTCCTGCCTCAGCCTCCCAAGTAGCTGGGATTACAGGCATGCGCCACCAGACCCAGATGATTTTTGTATTTTTAGTAAAGATAGGTTTTCACAATGTTAGCCAGGCTGGTCTCTAACTTCTGGCCTCAAGTAATCCTCCTGTCTCAGCCCCACTGAGATTATAGGCATAAGCCACCATGCCTGGCCTTAAGATTTTCTTTGAAGAAAGGGTTTAAACCACAAAAATAATTTGAAAAATATGACTTTATCAAACTCAATTATATAGATGAGAATAATGAGACATAGAAAAATTAAACGAAACTGGCCCAAGGTTACAGAGCTAATTAATAGCAAAATACTCATTCAGTCTGTCAACAAATATATATTGAACACCGTAGAAATAAAAATTATAAAGCTAAAGCTTTGATTTGATCTTGGTTTAAAAACATATTTGAGTCACTGTATTGGATCAGAAGCATTAGGATGAAAGAATCTTGTTTTCATAAATTGATGGAGAACCGACATTATCATGTATGTTACTATTGTTCAATAAAACAAGGAAGTAAGGGCAGGGGCATATTTACATTCAGGTGACTGCAGGAGGTTGGGGACAGGCCAGGTTTGGTAAAGGGCTTGTTTCAATTTAAATCTATGGTGGCTCATTCTCTGACTGTCACACTATTGCTCTCATTAATGTGCACCAGGAAGGATCCAGGAGCCCCACTTGACCCAAGATTAACATTAAGATTTTGTTTCATTTCCCAGATCAAACATGTGATTAGCACCAAACTTGGAAAAACCAGTGGCTATAGGATATGTGTAACTTTATCTAGAAAATAAATTTATAAAAGCTAATTGGTTGTACTTGTTCAACTCAAGTTCACTGGCATTATGCAAACTTATCCATGACTAGGTATTGCATGTTTTCCTGTTAGTCCAAAAGTTACAGCCCTTCTGATTCTAACTTTCTCTTTACAAACTATTTGCAATAAAGCTTATCTTTAGCAGATTCAAATCCAAATACAACACAAAACTTTGTTCTTTGCCAGCACCAGTCAGAGCAAGCCCTTCTTCTAGGCATGGAGGATACAGCAATGAGCATGTTGGAAGAGTTTCCTGTTTCTATGAACTAGCCCTGGGTCTCTTGCTTTCTGGTCCAATTCTGTTTCCAACACAATATGCAAGGTTGAAGACACATTCTCCAACCTTTTATATTTGTGTTCTGCAAATTCTTGTCAGTACACCTTATGCTTATATCTCCACATTATTTATTCATTTATTCAACAAATATTTGTTGAATAGCTTCTATTACCAGACTATATTAAGTGCTGGGCATCCTGATATGAATTAGCTCTCAAGGTGTCCACAGACTTATGAGAACATAGACTCGTACACAAATTTTAAAGCAGGATAATGAGTACAACAGTGGGAGAGGAAGAAGGTTCAGTCATAATACACAGTAGCAACCGATTAACTCCTTCTAGCATGATATCCACACTTGAATTTGAAAGGTTACTAGAGGGTCCCCGGGCAAACCAAGGACGGTGGGGGTGGAAATGGCATATGAAAAGCTACAGAGGCAAGGGAGAACGTGGCTCATTCTGAGAACCACACCCTGGTTTGAAGGAATATAAAGTACAAGGTGGGTGGGGGGCAGGCAATTCATGGAATTTCAGTCTAATGGCCTGTTTTCTCTGTGAGATGAGAGTGACTGGATGTTTTGAAATGGAGGCAGAAGCTGGGTAGGAAACTTGGAGGGAGGTTTAAAAGGACTGCTGAATTGTTTGTAAAGCAGAAAGGAGTAGGAAAAACCTAAAGGCTCATCAATAGGGCACTGGCATAACAGATTATAGTCCACACATGCAATGAATACCATACAGCCAGGAAAAAGATATGCATTGATACATATTGATATGAGAAGATCTATAAAACATAAATTGTTTAGTGAAAAAAAGAAGATGCAGAACTATGTGTGCCTTTATGTTTTATGTTAAAGGCATTAAAAGAAAAAAAAATCCTGGGGTCTAGGAGAGGGATAGCAGGGGGTGGGGAGATTGGGGAGGGACAAGATTAGGAGAAATACCTAATATAGGTGACAGGCAGCAAACCACCATGGTATGTGTATACCTATATAACAATCCTGCACAATCTGTACATGTATCCCAGAACTTAAAGTATAATTTTTTAAAATAGAAAAAAAATCCTAATATGCATAAAATGTCTCTGGAAGAACGCAGAGGTAAGTCACAGTGCTGGTTGCCCATAGGTAGAGAATCTGGATGGCTAGGATAAAGTGTTTGAAAGAGTCACTGCACACTTCTGAATTCTGGATCATAGGACTGTATTATTTATTCAAAATGTAAAAATAAAAATCCCTAAAATCCATTTGGTAAAATAAAAAAGAATAATTTCTGAGGTTAATGGAAAATAAAATAACCAAATTTTGGCCTAATGGCTATGTTCCTCTAGAAGCTTGTGCTTAAGCCTAACTTGGGAAAATATGAAGGAAATAGTTTTTTTCATTAGGAGTTCCTGTTTGGAAAACTTGACTTGGTGGAGTCATGGGGATCAGAGCTGGAGAGAGATTTACAGAGAAACCTAACCAAGATTGCTGATTTGGCCCCTCATGGCAGGGTCCCCAGCCAGGCTCTCTTCAGCATCCTAGCAAAGTTGCTTTAGTTACATCAAAGCAGTACCTTAAAAAAGGATTTCAAATAGTTTACTGCACCTATTGGTGCAAAATCCTGTTGGTACAAAGTGAGTTAAAACCAAATTCTGCCCTTTAGGAGCTAAGATGTGGAATGGACACTAATTGTTGCTCGAGACATTAGCAAATAATAAACAAGACTGACTTTTGTGTGTGAATTGTTGAATCAGATTCATTATCTTACAGTCATACTCCTTTATCTCTAACTAATGACAGAAAGAAATATTCTGGGTGTTCGACAAGGAGCCTGTGAAGTACTGTCTCTCTGTGCCAGATTGTTAGGCTTTGGCAGCACAAGGACAACTAAACCATTGCCCTTAGTGTCAGGGACCATATAGAGAAAGACACAAAGAGAAAATTAGAATAAAACGTGATCTACTGGAGAGGCATGAACAGAATTCTGTGGGAACCCCAAAGAGGGAGAGAGTAACTCTGCCTAGGAGGAGTGAGGAAGGGCTTCATTGAGGAGAAAATATGTAAACTGATTCTTAAATGGAGAGTTGAAGTTGAGGGAAGATGATTGGGACATTCCAAGCAAAGAGAATCCAGGGTGCTCAAACAACAAAGCTCAAAATAACACAGTGTGTTTGCAGTATACCATGCAGCTGGCTCTGACCCCAGCATCAGGTGCCTTTCAGGGAGTGGTAAGAGCCAAGGCTGGACAGGCAGGTTGGGACAGGATTATGAAGTACATTAAGGGCCTGGCTAACAAGTTTAGGCTTCATCATGTTGGCAAAACACTGCGTTCTCGGTCAACACGCCGAAAGATGGGTTCCTTTGCCATTGCTGTCTAGCCCCTTTACAAGCAAGCGTCCTCCTGTCAGCTTCCATATTGTTGTTAAAGGCAGAACCATGATATGGAAGGCCGGTTTGCAGACTTGGTCTTGCCTTTTCCATTCTTCTTTTGTGTTCTTCTTTCACATCTAATTAGTTCTCAGAGTCTCTGACTCTTCTTTCACTCTTTTTTCTTAGCTCCACCATGGAGCTAAGCCATGCCTCTCATGCCCTCCACAGCAGCCTTGAAAAATCTCAATCTGACCACAGTGCCTTTGCATCACTACCCCTAAGTTCAGAGAGCTGTGTGCACACCAACTGGCCCTGCTCAGAGCGTGGCACACATCTGAGCCCTGCACAGGGCTAAGCACTTTATAAGAGCCATCTTATTCAATTCCCAAAGCAACCCACTGAGGTTGTATTCCAGTCAAGGTTCTTGGTGGCAAGCAGCAGGTAACTCAAGCAGAAAAGGAACTTGCTGGAAGTATGTATATCAGGCAACCTGCAGCATTCATAGGAAGGTGGAGCACTGAGAGCCAAGGAAAGAAGTGGAGCACGGAGTTAAGGTTCTACCACTGTAACCATTTCCCAGGACATGTTCCCATGCCTCTGGACTCTCATGCCCACCAAAGCAGCCTTGAAAATCTCAAACTGACCACAGTGCCTTTGCATCACTACCCCTAAGTACAGAAAGATGTGTGCGCACCAGCCGGCCCTACTCAGAGCATGTCTATACCCTAGCTGCCAGAGGCAGGCAGAGAACGTTTCCTCTTTGTGACTTCCCACTTACATTGAAATTCACTCAAGTCAGGAAGAATTTTCAGATACCAGAC